GGCCACGGTTTTCACAATCAGCTCGCCCACACTGGGGCCGACCTTCTTGGGCTTGGAAGCCGTCGTCTTCTTCTTGGCCACCTTGGCCGGGGCGGCAGCAGGTGCGGGAGCTTCCTCGGACATTTTCCCCTTTCACGTCTGATCAAAATCATTCCCTGTACAATTCCATCTTATGCATAGCACTTACTACAATAGTTGCATTATATAAAGGGAGATAGAAAGGTGGCTACAGAGCCATCGAATTAGGAGTTAGATTGAAGATAGCTTTGATGGAAATTCCTCTTTGGTCATAGCTAGGAAAGCTGGATGCGAAGGACACAGCAGAGCCTGCCTGTGGCATAGGCTGACCTACAACAGGGTGGATAGGAGCTTTTATTGCTTTATCACATCATTACAAGACTTGTCCACAGGTACTTTTTCGCATATCTTACACATAACAATTATAGTTTAATCCTTAGAACACAACTCAACAAAAAGTTTGAAATAGTCCCTAAATTTAGGTTACATTTACTTTTATTCACCTTTTCCTACTGCTAGCAAAGGGTGCATTTAAAGCAGGCCAGTATGTAACAGTTTAAATTGAAGTTACAAAGATTACATTTTTAATTCTTTTAAAAACATATTTAAAATCAATATTTGGCACAACACAAGTCCCATAAATGTAACAGTTTTGACTTTTCACCTAATAAACTGTAAGTTTAAGTTTTGTTTTGCTTTTTTTTTCGGTGGAAACAAGAAGAGAGGTCGCTATCCGTTTGCCTGATGGTGTATCTGAAAGACAAAGAAGAGGATCTCTTCAGAGAACAGCTGGTAGGTGAATCTCACATTCTTTTGTGTTATATTTTTAAATGGCACATAAAATACTGACATGTTTTCATTTAACCTGCTTGCCAGGATCATGAAGAACAGTTCCGAGAAGAGCTGGTAAAGGTTGTAGTCACAAGACATGCAGCAGTCTGGAAAACCTTGATGTGCCCAGAGCGTGTGCCTTAATGATGGGGCTTATATACGCTCTCAATCTGAGCTACCCAAAACAAGTAAAGAACACTCTAGAGCAGGGGTGGGCAATCTCAGTCCACGAGGGCCGGTGTCCCTGCAAGTTTTAGATCTCACCTTGGGTCAACACACCTGAATCACATGATTAGTTCGTTACCAGGCCTCTGGAGAACTTCAGGACATGTT